TTGTTTATAGGCACACACATAACACTGTTAGCCCAGTGGTCGGAATTCTATCATAATCATTATTGAAAATTTTAGAACACCATAAATGAATTTAAACGTTTTCAAGATTTTTCGCCTTATATATCCTTTTTATATGTATTTAGAAAAGAAAACGGTACAGTATCATTTGAGTACTTTTTGAGTTACTGGCAAATAAATATGTGAATCTATCGTTTTTTTTTTTTTTTAGTTTGAACTTTTTCCCATTAGTTGAAAATTTGAGTGAAACAATTTTTATTTTTAGATGATATGAAAATTCATATTTGAAGTTGTTTAAAGAAATATCAAAATCAATTTGGTTCCTCCTTAAAAACTTATTTGAGCCAACTTTACTCCTTCGGTCTGTACGAATTGTTTTATTTCAAAATTGTACCTATATTATACCAATATGTCAATTATAAATTTTTCATAATAGAGTTCTCTTAAGAAATGTAAACCGAAAGGAAGTACGACATATACACACATTTAAAGAGCTTTAAACAACAGATTTTAGGTAGGGATTGATGACGTAGTGGTTTTACGCCTATAAACAACAACAAACAAGCCAAATTTTATAAAATTAGTTACAGCCATTTTCGAGCTCTATTATATAGGCACACGCGTTTTTCATTAAAGGCCGGATGGTGCTGAAATGTATACAAAACACTTGAGAATTAGATTGTAACGTTGTATCATAATTTCAAAGTAATTTGTAGATAACTTTTGGAGATTTTACGGTTTTAATAACCATTTATATTTGTTTGTATATATATTGTTCTTAATAATTATTTATAAATAACATTAAAGCTCGTCAACAGCTACTGAACAAAAACAGGAAGTCGGATAAAATGTTTTTTTATTTATTTAGACATATAATATTATGTCACGGGGACAATAATTATATTGATAAATGAACACATTCACACCTTATATACAAAAAAAAAATTAACAAAAGTAAAATAATAACTAAATAATAATAAATAAATCCTATATACAAAAACCAATAAAATAACCTAAATATAAGTAAATTAAAAACATAAAAATACAAATTCGTCCCCATGTCTAGTTTAGTTTATCTTAGAATGAGAAATAGAGGAGAGGTTTTATATTCGGCTGTTTATATAATGATTAAAATTCTCTACTTACTTGAAAGTCCAGGAATCGGCTTGGGGTAATGCATCTTATTGAGGCTATTATTAGTAGCCTGTCGCTGTGCCCAACCATGATCTGTAGCAATGTGAAGTTCAGTGACCCCCTCCAGACTATTTGTGCTTAGGTAAGCAACGCCTGTAAAGAAAAAAAAACCTGTACCACTACAACCCATGAAGGGTCTTGGGGTCAGTACTATTTAGGGAAAGCTCTGTTTCTTGGTCTACGGCTGTGCAAGGAGGTGATTTGGCTGAAATCACTCTCAACCGTCAGGTTTTTCCACTTAATCAATTATTTCAATTAAGATTACCCACTTTTTAAGGCTGGATGTGCCCCAGGAGGGTCTACATACACAGGTTCGCCCTACGGCCAATGAAACAGAATACATAATTTTTCTGCCATGAGACGGGATAACCTGGGACTTTTAGCATTGGAAGCTCAGTACCCTAGTACTGAGCTACCCCACTCCCTAAGCAGCATACTCTTCCAAGAAGACCATATTTGATGAACAAAATTCTACATAGTCTATAGCGCCAACTGAAAATATACATACCTATATATATGTGTGTGTGTGTGTGTGTATGTATATGTTATAAATGGGAACATGGAGCATGTGTCCTTTCTGAAACGCCTAAAACCGTAAAAAGGTAATTTTACGAAAGAGGGTTACGAAGATAATACAAAATATGGGTGATTAGAATGACAACACCTGATGATAATAAACCTTAACTATAATAAATAAAAATTATTCCATGGGTAAGCATATTTTAACTTGTATTGTCTATATTAAACACACATTAGTAATTACTATAAAAGGATAATAATTCCATAATATAATATATTACTTTCTTAAATATAACTTATTCTCTAATACAAATATTATTCAAATAAAAATGAATTTGAACAGATTTTAATCAATGCTTTGTAATTATTTATTTTGTAGATATTAAATAAATATATTTTTTTTACTAAACCCCAAGAGCAGACCAGCTTGATGATAACTGGGTGATATTGGAGTAGGAAGTCGTTGGGACATTAGTAAGGATCCAATACTTAGGAAGAAAAATGCCTTTTTTATACTCTCGTTTTTCTTCCTCTGAGCTTTTCTTTCCAATATTCCCTCCTCCTCTATCATGTCTTGTAGCTAAGCTACATCTCTACTTTATCATAAACCCCCGTATATGATATATTGGGAATACATTTCATATATATATATATATATATATATATATATATATATATATATATATATATATATATATATATATATATATATGGTAGAAAAGTTGAATTAAATATAATAAAATAATAAATCTTATAAACACACAAAGAAACATATGCTACCTGGAAAAGTCACATAATGAAATCTAAATTATTCACAGTAGTGTAAACAAACAAAAAGTAAAGAATAATCAACAGCTTTAATTATATTATTTCTTAACTGTTATTTTTTTTAGCTATTTTTTTTGTTATGTAAATATATAAAATTAGCTTATGTATAAGTAATGTAAACGACATCACACCGTCGTCGTTCTTCTAAAATCAATAGATTAATCTTTATTTATAAGATTGAATTTTTTTTTTTTGGCATTAAATATCTTGTAGATCTTTTGCCGCCTTATCCAATCCAACTTCCTCATATCAACCTATCTTGTGCTATCTCTTTCCAGTTATCTGCTTGAAGCTCTATGGTATCTTTATTGATTTGATTTATTCATTTTTTGTATCTCTTTGGTGAGGTCTCCTGTCTACTATTGATGCATAGGTTCAGATGAATTGCTCCGAGGTACTCGCCCCGCCCATCTTAACCTCCTTAATTTCAATATATCAGCTATTGATTGACCAATTTCTGTAATTAGTTCTTCATCGATCCATTTCCTATCTTCTTTAGATATTTTTTTAGCCTAAACAAGGCTTCTCCATCTCTGCCTATCTAGGACTATTTCTTTGTTGATTCTGTCTAGCTATTTGATTTTTTATCTTTTGGCCTACTGTTGAGGCATTAATTGATTGCTCCAAGCTACGTTTTCATATCATCTTAATCTCCTTTCTCTCATACATTATATTGATTGACCAATTTCTGTGAGCGTTCCTTTAATGTTTTTTTTCTTCTCCGTACATAGTACTCTAATCGCAGATCGTTACGGTTATCGTGCGTAGTATTTTTATCTCATAAATTTCAATATTTCATTCCAGGATGCTGGTTGGTGTCCAGGTCTCGCATGCGTATATATGAACTGGCTTTATCCATATAATTGTACGCCCTTAATTTGAGATTTTTCGGGATTTTAATACCCCTTAAAGAAATAAGAAAGCCCTGTTTGCGTTTTTTTTATATGCTGGTCTATTTCCGACCGATGGACATTCATTGATGTTAATGTGTATCCAAGCTATTTGTATTTGTCTATCCTTAATTTTTGCGCTAATTAGTTCGTATCACCTTCTCCGGCGCTAAGTTGAATATAGGTGAAAGTCCGTCTTCATCCCGTAACTTAGCTCGGATTTCGAAGGTTTCAGAAACTGATCCTAATGCCAGGATTTGACATTTAGAGTCGTTTGTACACTCTATTGTCAATCTCACTACCAAATTAACTAAGAACTACCGAGATAAATATCACTTATAATTATTTATTCGTTTCGGTTTTTCTCTATTGGTATTCAGACCATGTAGATTTTTTGTCGTCTAACAAGCCTGTTCTATCTTTGCCTGTCTTGCTATATTTCTTTCCATTTATTTACACGCAGTTCCATTGTATCTTCGTTGATTCTCTCTACCCATCTGCTTTTTGGCCTTACTCGTGGTATTTTGCCTTCTATTGAGGTATTCATTGTTGCGTAGAGGCTTCCAGATGGATCGCTACGAGAAAAATACCCCGCTCACCTTAACCTCCATGCCTTCATATCATGGGATATTGACTGAACAGTTTCTTTAAGCAGTTCTATACTGACTTTTCGTATCTATGTGTTCGTACTCTGATCCCAAATCGCTTCGGTGATCGTGTGAAGGATTTTCGCCTCAAATCGCCCGTAATTTGAGATTTCATTTGATTTTTCGGAATTTCAATACCTCTGAGAAGGAGAAGAAAGCTCTGTTAGAGCTAGTTCTACGCTGTTCTATTCCTAACCGTTGTTCATTCATTGAGATCATTGAAATTATTGCTCTCGGGAATGATTTTCCTTCTACACAGATCCGGAGGAATTTTCGGCTCTTGGGAATGATTTTCCTTCTACACAGATTCGGAGGAATTTTCGGCTAGTTATCATACATTTTATTTTGTCTTCATTTACTTATAGGCCGATATTCTTTGCCTATTTATTCGTTATTCTGATAAAATTTGTTTAATGGAGGCCTTTATCTCTATATCTCTGTAAACAGTTGTTTAGGTGTTAAGATATTGGTGACTATATAGCAAAAATGGGTGAATATTATTAAGTAGGCTAACAAATTTAAACATCAACAATAGACATAACTCTTGTTAATGAAAATATGAAAAATATAGTGACAACCCTTAACCTCGAAGTCCTCCATTAACCTCTTCTCTCGCCTCCCATTAGAAAAGTAATTGCTCAATGTTACCACTAGCACCAATCCAATTAGATCTTCTTACAAATACATGAGGTCGCAATGGCTTGTACTTTACTCCTTGAGTGCCCTAGTCCCCCAAAAGGGATAGAGCGACCCCCGTGGGCGTTGGTCCCGAAAGAGGAGATTGCCGGGAGGAACTGCTAAAAATGTGCATTGATTACGGCTAGCCATGTATTAGGAGGTTCCTGCAGAGCTACAAACCTCCACCAACATAAACATGGTAACAGAGGAAACCGGTCCTTAACTAATGCATAATTCAGATCCGTCGCAATATGTGCTCCGCTGGGCAATCTACTCCGCCAAAACTGATTCATATTTATTGCGATTTTATATACAGCAAGAGGATCTTCCGGTTAGCTACTCATTTCGCCGAGGATTCTATGCGGGGGAGAGGTGAGGGGGAGGGTGCCTCTAATCTTGGTTTGGTGATTATTCTGAAATTCCTCGTACCTTAAGTGCCAGTACGATTTGATTTGTCTTAAATGAAGCATGTGCAAAAGTTCTTGTCTAAACTAAACGTAAACTTCAAAATCTTTAGATTTTAAAAATTCCTTACATTACTAAAATAAGCAAAAACCTCGAAAAGAAACATTACCTATGGAACAATCCAAATTGTAAAGCCATGAGTCTCCAACACACAAGTAAACACTTGTATTGAATAATTAATAGTTGACCGTTGCATTATGCATTAAGGAAAGAGATGGTCCGGGGTGGTGGTCATAAATAATCTAAATAGTGAAACTCAAGTTTCAACTTTGAGTTCTAAGTGAAACTCCTAGCTGAACACACCTCCCTAAAGAAGACCTGCAAAGTCGGGTCGAAACGTTGGCTTTTAATAAAATAGTTTTACCACTATTTAGCCTATTTATGACCGCCACCCCGGGAATACTTTATTGAAAGTAATGCTGACCTACTATGCTTTATACACAGTATACTAGTTAATCCATATGGATATGACCCTTACATCACATTGTTATATATATACATATATGCCTTCTTAGGACTATATATATTGTCCTTGTAAGGGAGTTCCACTTCAGACTCTAGCCGAAGGTCCCAAATGGAGCCAAACTGGGCCTGGTTTCATTTAATATATAACTTTTTGAAAATAATAAATTATTGAGTAATAATTTGAAGCGTTTTTTAAACACATATATAAGAAGAAAATGATTATGAAATACTTAGCACAACAGACAAAAAAAAAAAAAAAAAATGGTATGAGTATTGGTTAAGTGAGCCCGCTTCCATTGTGTCACTACATTCAATGCCAAGCTGCGTTATCTCTGCTAGAATAAAGGCTAATAAAGAAGAATGAGATATATAAAACAATGAGATAGCCGGAAAAGAGAGACGGGAATAAGGGCAATTATATCGTTAGCCCTGGAAACTAGAGATAGGGCCGCCCTAAAAACTACCATCGCGCTCGGGATGATAAGTCCCACGAGAAAATTACCGCTTCCTGGTGTTTGCAAACCACAGCCAGTGCCTCACCGATCGCTCGTCCTATAAATCCCTTTCTCCCTTTCTCAGTTGTAGGTTTTTTTATTCTCCCCCCTTTCGTTTATGCCCTTGGGATCCCCTCTCCCCGTGTTCTCTACAATCTGATCCCCCTTAGTCAATAAATATCTCTTTTACTACCCCGGCCGATATATGGAAATATTTTTATCCCCTTTTTTGTCAGCGCGAATGGGTCGTCTGGGCTGTTTTTATATTCGGTAAACGGTTCGGTAATGTGATGGGTATCTGGAAAACAAATATTCGAAATTGATTTTGTATTCTTTTTCTTTAAGAATTTATATATCAGATGAAATATCAGTTGAAAAAAAAAATAAAAAAACTACGGCGTGTGCTTAGTACAACACGGTAGAAGTGAAAACATCAACAGGGCTGTGGTATTTTTTTTTTTTTTTTTAAGTAGCTGTAATTGGGATCAGTAATTTTTTATTTTTACAGCAAATGAAATTGAAGGTATCTATATCGGTTTTACAAATTGATTTCTGAATTCTCTATGTTATTTAAACTTTGAGATATTTTAATGTTAAAAATATTTGTTTTTGTTTTTTTTTTCCTTTCCCACTCGCTAAATCGGTGTCACATCAAGATATAATTTTAAATTACAGCTTATCACAAACAGGATGAAATGCTGAAAATTTCGCTCACACTATGTAGATACGATTTTTATTTTCTAAATTGTTTTTAATCTTAATCCAAAAATCAGTCGACTTTATTCGAATGAGCGTTACATAGCCGGGCCTAGTTTCTTTCACCACCCATAGAAAGAGAGAGAGAGAGAGTGAGAGAGTGAGAGAGAGAGAGAGAGAGAGAGAGAGAAGAGACGAGAGAGAGTGAGGGGGAGGGGAAGACATAGAGTTAATATTTTTATTGTTATCAAAAGATTTAGAAATAGTATTATTTATAAACTATAACATAGGCCCACAATAATAAGGTAGGAAGGGGAGGGCGGGGTGGCCGAATGGGCTAACGCGTTGTGCACAGCACCACCGTTGCCCGCCAACCTGATATATGACAAATGTGTTATAAAAATAGTCACGGGTTCGCGTCCCGGTGCCAAGGCGTCTTTTGAATCTCCGCCCACACCCCCTGGCCCGGGAAAACCCCCGTATAGCCTTAACGGTGAGGAAGGGGAGGACCCCCCCAAAAAAAGTTGGTAGAAAGTTACTGTATGGTGGGAACAGCCCTCCAGTTGCAGGCAGCCCATTAGTGTAGGTATACCCGTAATAATTAATGCCCCAATCAAATTAAAAAAATAGATCTTGCTTAGTTTTGGCTCAAGAATTTGGATCGAAGTGAGAGGAGACCTGCTCACTTGGTTATCAATCCTGGTGACGGAGCCCTTAAATTAGTGGCTTCCAATTTTTCAGTTATAAAATTGGAAGTACCGCTGTTACAGGGTTGCCCTAAGGTACAGGTAAGTGAGTGAGAGTGAGTGTGTGTGTGTGTGTGTGTGTGTGTGTGAGAGAGAGAGAAAGAGAGAGAGAGAGATTGAGAGAGAGAGAGAGACAGAGAGAGGGGGGGAAGGATGCTACCTTTCTAAATTTAGTCAAAAATATAATAAGACTATGCCAGGATGAATATAAAGATTAATTATAAAAGTATTTTGAGACATGTATATAACTCCAGCACTACTCATTTAATAGAACAAAAACAAAAAAAAAATGGTTTAACAGCCTAAATTTTATATTGCTCGTGAACTATGAGCTTCTTATCCGTTGTGGTGTCCATTCCCTTCATCTAATTAAAAACTTTTGCCTTCTACTAAAGGATACCGTCATTCACCCAAAGTTTGGCAATTTCGGAGAGGAATCTTCCTTCGCCAAACTTTAAATTTTTCCTATAATCTATTTGCATTTTAATAACCCACTTTTTCGTAAGAATAAAATACAAACGGAATCGTATTTTTTTACGCCGCTATAGTGAAACCATATATAGGTGCTGTGTTTTTAGTTCCAAAGTATGAAAGGTTTCTTGAGTGAACGGCGAAAGACGAATAATGAGTTTGATGGCTCAAATTATTTAATGAGTTTTTAATTTTAATGAGATCTCGTGCGTGTTTTAAAAACATTTTCCCCTTTACGGAATTCTGTGAGAAAAATTGATTACAAAGAATTATCCTTACAGCTCACATTACGACTCCTGGTAAGTAGGTTTCGTCCCATACAATGGTACATAATACCAACTCAAAGAATTTAAAGATAAGGGTAATACTAAGCCAAGTTTAAATATCCATAGAGAAAAAATAACTACAAACCTAACCAGTGTTAATTCTATATCTTAAAGTTGTAGAATTTTATTATCATTTCCATTATTTTAAATACTAAATATGGTTTTCAATTATTAAAATTTCTTAGGACAGTACGGTATGGTATTTGTTCAGTTCTAAGTATACTGATTCATAAACTGAATCAAATTATATTTACGACTGTCCTTGCTTAGAGAGATTAGAGGTGATGTTTTTTATGTAAGATTAATCTAAGAGATAAATAGAAAGAACCGTTACTGCACTAAGCGTTAAAATAACCTTAACTAACAAATTTAAAATTATACTCACTTGTGATAGCTGAGTGTGCCCTAGAATGGTCTCCAGGGATCCGGAACTTGTTCACAGAGCTATTAGTTTCTTAATTTTAAAAATAAAAAAAAATATTTAGACACGAAATATTGTTTTTTAAGAAGCTAAATAAGTGTAATTACAAGTAAAGTTAATTACAGTTTTCTAAAGGAATCTTTAGAGGAACATTTTTTAGGAACGTACATAAATACGATCCTATCCTCTATTCTATTTTTTGGTATACCCGAATTATTGGTTATATGTTTTAACACATTTTTGTTTGTTTTGTTTCAGGTCTTCTCTGCTGGTATCAACTATTGAGAAACCAACTATACCAATGAACACGTATAAGCAGCGAAGCGATATGGATCGGGAAATAAGAAATATAACCATATTTCTCTATGATGTTGTAGGCTAAACTTCAGAAATGGTACTTATAATTTTCGTCCTTTTTGGAGTGGCCTACGCTTGGGGATGCCCTGAGTCCTGTATTTGCAAGTGGAAAGGCGGAAAGCAGACGATAGAATGCGTCAACAAGACGCTCATCACCATACCTTCGAACATGGACCCTGGCACCCAAGTCCTCGATTTTGCTGGCAACAATTTGAACAAGTTACCCAAAATGAGATTCGAAAACATGGGCCTAATCAACTTACAGAAGATTTTCCTTTCCAGGTGCAGGATCAAAGCGATCGACCGAGACGCTTTCAAAGGTTTAACGAACCTCGTCGAACTGGACCTCAGCGATAATTTCATCACTTCCGTCCCGACAGATACATTTCACGACTTCCCTTCTCTGATGAGGTTAGCATTGAGTGGCAATCCAATTGAGGTATTGCGCACTGCTGCCTTCCGGCGACTCACTTACCTCACAAGCCTAGAGCTGAGCCATTGCAAAATCAAATCCATCGAAGATGGAGCATTCGAAAGCTTAAGCAGCTTGGAGTGGTTGAAACTGGATGGAAACAAAATAAAGTACATAAAAGGCACTAATATCCTTCCAAAAGACCTTCACGGAATCGACTTGCACCACAATCCCTGGCAATGCGATTGCAATTTGATTGATATCAGAAATTGGTTGTTAACTTATAACGTTCCTCACTCTATCGAACCCACGTGTGATTTTCCTCCGAGGCTGCAACACAAGGAAGTTAAAAACTTACCTCAAGAAGATCTTGCTTGTTTACCAGACGTAACGCCTACAACATTCTATTTAGAAATAGCCGAAGGTAAAAACGTTTCCCTTCAGTGCAGAGTAACGGCCATACCCGAAGCCAGAGTGTCTTGGTGGTATCAAGGCGAAGTTCTGCAAAACGACTCAACTGTAGCACCTGGATTACATTTGTATTATTTTTTAGAAGAGGGTACGACGGAGAAGAAATCTGAATTGTTTATATTTAATACTAACATTGATGACAATGGAACTTTTGTGTGTATTGCCGAAAATCAAGCAGGAAGGTCGCAATCAAATTACACCATCAGAATAGTTTTGACCAAGGAACCTGTTGTTGGATTGGCTGTGATTCCTCAGGCATATGTTGTAGCATTGTCTGCTGCAATTATTGTGATTGGACTTTTAGGAGTGATATGCATCGTTTTATGTTATATACAGTGTCGAAGGCAAAAGAGGCGAAAGAAGAAAAAAGACAGAAGTAAAGTAGCTGGTATTCAAAATCAACAGCAGATGGATAAGATCCCAGCTGCGCGTGAAGACACGATTACAAGGGTGGCTGCGAACGTGGCACTGCCAAAACCAAACGGGCCGGTATTGAATCAAGAAATTATGGCGTTCGCTACAGGTCCTGGCGTCTTGGTGATACCCAACAATCTCAGTTACACTAATGCTCCGGTACCTCAAACATTTCAAGACAAGAATCCCGATTTAATCAACGACACGGGCAGCAAGGAGTGGAACAAAGAGAGCGAAGAAGGTGAAAAAATATGGGCAGGAGGAACACTTCCGAGACGTGACATTTTCCCGAAGCACTTGACTGCAGACGTCCATCTTTCCCCCGGAAAGTTCATTGACGTAGATGGGTATCCAGTAGATTACGGTCTTCCAAAGCTGCCTGGTCCGTTCCCAGTAGTCATGCCACCTCAAGCTTTCTACAGAACTCTCCCTCACAAATCACGTCAAGGTATCACAGCAAGGTTTTCGAGAGAAGCAGAATGCATACATTACGCGCCTGGAGATGTTCGATATACTGCTGAGGGCTATCCGTCCTTCCAAGATCCGTTCATCTCTCCACCCGTGGGATACCGAAGCGACGCCGCCTCTCAGTGGCCAGAATCCGGTTTGGACTCCTTAAGGACTGTCTCAGCCCAGACCTCCGAAGTTGAACCCATTCCGGAACGACAGGAGCTGACAGAGAGCCCGGACGAGGGATACGTCGGCGAGGGAGGAGATTCCTCCGTCAACTGACAAGAGAGAAACAGTGGAAAGTCCAAGGAGTCCTTCATACCTTAAAGACAAAGAGTGTAACTTAGGAGGAGCTCGGTTGATTGGTGTCAGTAGTGACCGGTACAGATATCATATGATCAGGGTATAATCTTGTGCAAAAGCTTTTATTTATTGCAAGTGCTCAATTTTTGAAAATGTACTCATATCGGGAACTGTAATTTGCACTGCATAGCATAAGAAATAGGTGTTAATATAATTTCTTATATTTTTTTTTATTTTATATTTTTATGAGAAATGGTATACTGTAAATTTGTGATGGATTAAAATTCACAATGATAATTTTAAAGGAATGTAATGTAAATAATTGTGCTTGGATCCAGTTATCATTGGATGATCTTTTTATTTATTTTTTATGTTTGTTAAATGTTGAAATTTGTTGAGTTACCAACCTTTTAATACCTAAGACATTTCCAAATAATTTTATTTCCTCGATCGATACTTGCTCAAATTTCCCTCACTTAATATTTGAATCCTATGTGACTACAAATATATACATATATATTTGGAGAAAGACAAGCCTATACCAAACCTATTGGTTTTAGTACTATTTTAAAAGATTTATTTATGCTGCTCCAGAGACTGAATTTCAGATAAAATTTGGCCTACATTTTTCTATTTATTTCTTTTAACCTCTCTAATGATTGGTGTTATTTCTAAATGTTTATTCAACGTAGCGTCTTCTGCCTGACTCATATATGGGACTCTAATCTGTGTTAACTGTTATAATCTATGATAATGGATGTCATTTAGGTACTATGCTATATACATTTCCATAAATGTGTTTATCAATGTAAAATAAAGAGAATATAACCATAAAAACAATTTAATTGATATGACATTTGATGTTTCTCAAAACATGTACATAGAGTAGTTTTATGACATTAAGTGTTACAAGAGTTAATTATTTTAATTGAACATACAGTGATGGATGAACAATGCATGTAGGAATATTTCTCTGAAGAAAGTAAAAAAAAAATATCCCTACAAATTAAACTTACCTAATAAGTAACTACTTATTAGTATTAAAAATTAAGTATTAAAAATGTTTGGTGTAATATTTTAAAAACATTTGAAGATGACATTATTAAATTTATTCCATTTTCATTTGCTGAGTTAGAATTTTAAACGTACCAGAGAAAAAATATTCAGAACTTAAATAGGTTTTAAAATTATTCATGACAAAATAAAAAATATTTTTCAAAGTTGTAAGGAAACACCTTAAAGTATGGTTGGGTATATGTATACTAAACGGTGAGTATGATATTTATGCAAGGTGTCTGAGGTGTCAATGGCAATACTCTGGGGCGTGATTCTAGATATAATTTCCAACAGAAGAGTTCGGCATGTGCCGATTCTGAACGTAAAGGCCAACTTTGTGTTTCTTATAAGGCGGTCACGGTTTTATTGAATAAGAAGGAATTGATTTAAAAAAAGTTCAAGATAATTAAGTTCTAAATATACCATCGTAAAGTGTTCAATTTTTTTTTCAGAAAACAGTGAATTAATTTACTGAGGTAAATGATAAAATGGACATTCAGAAGTGGTTCTTGGTACAGACCCCTTTTTATCAAATTATTAAAATCCGGCTGGAACTTCGTAAATAGGTTCATCTCATCGAAATCTACAAATATTATATTTATTAAAATTCTCGGAATGGGGGCGTGTTCAATCTGGAGGTCGGCAAACATTGTCTATTTAATTAGGTACTAAAAACTCGTAAATATCCATTTACTTTCCACTTAAATCGTAAGATAACTTGAGCACAAAGTCGGAAAAAAGGATGCCCTTCAAAAATATTGAGACGTTTGGCGTGAACTACACCCCCAAATTGTCAAAATAACAAGGTTATATAGATCAAACAGCCCAATATTTTTGTAGGCCACCTTTTTTTATTTTATTTTGTGATCAAATTGTCTTACGATTCAAGGGGAAAGAAAATATGTATTTACGAGTTATTTACGTTTATTTTAATATTTTGAGTTATTTAATTAATATTCTAAAATATTAATATTTTGAGTTATTTAATATTTTGAGTATTTACGTAATTAAATAGACAAAATTTGTAGATCGCCATATTGAAAATGTGCAAATTTCGAGAATTTTCGTAAATAAAATATTTACCTGGATGTTAATAATTTGATAAAAAAGGGCTCTGTACAACGGACTAGTGGTTTAATACGGCCGCTGTACTATTACAGTTATAGTACCGAAAAGCATATATCTGTAATATATAATTCGGCATAATGATAGTGTTTGGATTATTAAATATTGATATATGTTGCTTGCATATATTTCTAGATATAGACATGATATTGCATTACAATGTCATTGGCTTCAGTAAATTTAATTACTGTTATACTCCTTTATTATAGAAATACTGAACGTTTTGGTGAGAGATGAGGAAAATATTAGTGTGAGTGGTCTTTGTCTAGGTTCCATCCCATACTGGCATATTAGGCAATAGAACAGCAGACCAAGCTGCTCATTTGGCAAGGATGGAAGATGTATCAGGCATAACACTAATAAATTAAATCACCGTTGAAGATTGGATACACGAGACAAAATGTCTAATTTAAAATAAAACGAGCCAAATTATCAGACATAAAACCCGAGTGCAACAGATAGGTCACAAAATTCATAAAAATTAAGAAGGGAAGAAATAATTTTGTGCCGAATAAAAAATTGGACACTGTCTTTTTATACCTGGTGTACCTTTCCAGAGGTCTAGAAACGCTCACCTGCCAAAATTGTGAAAACTCACCTTAGACAGTTAAATACTTATTATTAGAGTGTCCCCAATACGAAAAAAAAAAGACAACATTAAAGTTGTCCACGAATATTTGTGTGAAAAATGGTTTAAATTTCCCTCGTTACGTCGAGTGGTGGGGGCAGATCAGAAGATTAATCCGCACAAGCTGCCGGTTTCTCTTCATTTCACGGAGACAACACCTGCACTTGAGAGCCCTCAAGGTAAAAAAGAGATGTTTTGATCTGACATAAGTATGCTAAACTATTTTCGCACAATCAGTATCACCTACCAAATCCATTAAAATACAGTCTATTTAGAACTCATGAGAGTTATTTGCCTTATCTTAATTAAAAATTGGAAAGTTGCCTAGGATATTTTGGGAGACAAGAAAGAAGGTGTCCTCATTCCCTTCCAATATTTAATTGAAACAAAATATTACAACATAATATAAAAATTAAGTATCGCCGCCAATGATTCTCCAGGATAGAGGCAAATAAAAATAAAAAATAATTGTCTACGATGGTGCACTTATAACTTGATTGTCTTGAACGATTTTTGAGCAATTCCTTCTTATTCAATAAAAACTGTGACTACTTTAAAATAAATATAAAATTGGTCTTAACTACATTTTCGTTCGAAATCGGACCATGCATCAAATGAACTTTTTTATGTTCTTTTGTGCGAACTTTTTTCTGTTTGTGTCTATAATCACACCCAAGAGTTTGCCCATTAAAAATTACACACCTTGTACATTTAAAATACTGCCTACCCTTATTATTATACTGGAGTAAATGGAACAATGTTATAAATTGTAGCTTATTTGAAAAAAATTAAACAGAAAACAAAAATGTGTGTATATACATACATATATATACACAATGTCTATTAATAAACCACATAATGAGTAATACTAAAAAAAAAAATGTATAAAACATGTAAATATATATTATATAATATCAATATAAAAAAGTTAATAATACGTCAAGTAGAGGGACTATGAGTGATTTATTGTTAATGCACATGCAAACTTTGATCCTGTAAATATATTATATTCTTGTATTTTTAATGAATGAATAATTATTTGTTGTAGTATTAGAAGGACATTCACAATTTATTGTATATAGAATAAAAAAGTTGTTGTTTATGTTTGGTAATTAAAAAGAGGTTTTATCTCCTTTGAATGTTGATGTTTATTTCAATCACCTAACTCTTTGTTAAAAATAAGAATATATCATAATTTATCAACTACACAGCCTAAGAATAACAAGATATATTTAAATTCAAGTGGTTTATGAAAAAAATTATAGGTAAAAATATTAAGGTTTGAAGTAACAGCCTTTTAAAAGTAAGTATAAATTGATTCTGAAAATTCTGTGGTATGATAAGTAGTGTCTAGTCAGAAGGTAGCCTCTTAGTAGCAAATTTGCTAACAGAGTTTACAAATCGTCGTTTCCAGGAAAGTACAACTTAGGAAGTCAGTTGTGAAGTCCAATTGTAACTGAAGTCTACAAGGTGGTTTCATGCCAAGCTAAATTGGAGAGAATAATGCAATCCAGCTTTCTGAGGTCACTGGTTTAAAAGTAACAGTTATCCTATTATTAAACAAACCTTATTTCGTTCATTAAGTTATTTTCTATTAATTATATATGACAGCAGCTTTGAAGTATTCCTTTATCACTTCCGAAATTGACTTCTTTTAATTATGTAAAAGAAAGTAAAGGAAATTTTATTCTGAGATATTTTGTCTCCTAAGAATAACTATAATGAAAAGAAAAGTTAAATTTGTCATAACATTAGAAGTTAGTCAAGAAATAATTAAATCATATAATTATTTAACCCAATTTTTTTATTATTTTATTGAAATTTACAACTTTAAACATATATATATATATAACCAGTTAATTTGCTATAGGAATATATTACATGAAGGTACTTGTGAAGAAGCTACCCATTGGTAACACTTCAAAGATAAATTAATTTAGGAGGTCTCTGGGCCATCTTCTTTTCAGACGCCTCGGAGGGTTGTCAGGAATTGTGTTGGATGAAAGATTAAAAACCAGAGGATTGAGGTGACCAAAGAGTTTGGAATGAAAACAGGCATATATTTGGGCCAAGCCTTCCACAAAAGAAATGTTGGAGTCTTTATGGATAATTTTATTTGTTACATAATAAGGAGCATTTAGGATTTTATGGAGGATTTTGGATTGTAAAGTTGGATACGGTAAGAATTTGATGTTTTTGTAGAGCCTCAAAGCTCAATACCGTATGTCTAAATGGGTCTGATGATGGTTGTGTAAATTAGTTTTTTGATATACTATATATAAAGGATGGGACCAAAGACGCTCCCAAAATTAAAATAAAAAAGAACAAGTAAACATATTAAATTGTATATAAATATGAGTGTGTTCACATATTTGTACTGATCAGTAATATTGATTATATGTACCATAGTTGGAGAACACATTAATCATTATAGGCCGCAGTAAAGTTAGGCATGCTGATGGAGGCAGCAATAATTCCATATATATTTTACTGTTGCACATATATACACACAACTTAATTCTATTAATTTCCATATTGTTGTTACTTAAATAATTAACTTAAAATTAATTTTACCACTAGTTTAATAAATATCGTGCAAAAACGTTTGGAGGCCGCATGTGGTATCCGAGGCCGCAAGTGCTACGCTTCCTCCGAGACCGTGGTTATCCACCAATGATTTATACTTATCTGTAGAATAACAGTATAATTTGGATGAAACCTCTTAAATAGAAGAATTCTATTCTTACATATGTTCGGAAGATAAATTAAAGAAGTGGAAGAATAAATGATGTTTAAATTAGGTTAAGGAAGATAATCTGCTTGTGGTGCAAGGTAAGTAATTCCAAAACATGGTAGTACGCATGACAAAGGAGTTTTCCAAGCAAGCAGTTCAATAAGAAGGAATAAATAGGTTTGTGAGTTGGGATCTCGTGTTAAACGAAGAGACAGAGAAACAAAAAATAGACAACTCAAGAAATTATAATGGATGTTATTTATTCCTTCAAGCTTTTTCATTTGATTTTTTAAATTCAAATTTTATTTAACACGTTTTGTATTATTATATTTTAGTTATAACTATTTTTCTTAGTTTAAGGTCTAATCAGCTGTTCAATATAACCTTGCTTAGCTGTTGTTTATAGAAACTTCTCCTTCATTCGATATTTATTTGGATGACTTCGTGTGATGTCCATTGTAATCATATTTTTTTCCTTTCCTTTTGTTTTTTTTCTTTTCCCATATAAATGATCTTTGTTTTTCAGTCCCGATGATGGGTGAATTGTCGAAACGTTGGCAAGTTAAATATTCACTTGAATGTTAGATACTCATAGTTTTGTTGTTTGGGGTTTTCCATGTATAACATGATCACCTTATGTCTCTTTTCTAGATGTATGCATATTTTAGTAAGTTAATAAGATAATAATTATTAATTACTAAAATAAAATATCTCTATAGTTATTTCTTTTGATTTTTTAAAAAACGTGACATATATGAAATTTTTTGTACTCTTGTGCTGTGCTAACACTCTTATAAGACTTTCCCTCTATTTTCGGGACACCCTGTACATATATATATATATATATATATATATATATTATATATATATATATATATATTATATATATATATATATATATATATTGTAATATTTTTATTTTTTTATTTTATTTATTTATCTATCTGTCTGTCTGTTATTGCCGACGTTTGTCTTTTAAAATCTGAAATCTGTCCTTCTAACCTTTAATCTTTCTGTTAGTCAATTAACCTGGTATTCGTGTATCTATTTAAGTTTGTAGGAATGGGGTGTACCAGCTTAGACAGGATGAGAAGGATAAGGTATATAAGGTAAGACCGCCAAGAATGATAGAGGGACAACCCCTGACGTTGCGAGGATAGGATAAGGTAAGACCGCCAAGAATGATAGAGGGACAACCCCTACACATCCAGGGCTCTGCAACCGAGGAGGCAATCCCCTGACGTTGCGAGGATAGGATAAGGTAAGACCGCCAAGAATGATAGGGGGACAACCCCTACACATCCAGGGCTCTGCAACCGAGGAGGCAATCCCCTGACGTTGCGAGGATAGGATAAGGTAAGACAGCCAAGAATGATAGGGGGACAACCCCTACACATCCAGGGCTCTGCAACCGAGGAGGCAATCCCCTGACGTTGCGAGGATAGGATAAGGTAAGACCGCCAAGAATGATAGGGGGACAACCCCTACACATCCAGGGCTCTGCAACCGAGGAGGCAATCCCCTGACGTTGCGAGGATAGGATAAGGTAAGACCGCCAAGAATGATAGGGGGACAACCCCTACACATCCAGAGCTCTGCAACCGAGGAGGCAATCTCCTGACGTTGCGAGGATAGGTAACCCTATACTCCCAGGGACAACCTGGAAGATGCAAGGGGGACTGTAGGAAAACAAGGGCCAACCAAGTTATTCCTACGAAAGGAGAGAGGAGGTAGGTTAGGAGAGAAGAGAGAAGGAGGAAGGTAAAACCAAAAAATAACACATTGGTCTGGTTTCAAACTGTCAGACAGAGAGATACCAGGAGCCTATGTGAGAAGGTAGTGACTCGGGAGAGAGTGCCTGCCCTAGGGGCCAGGCTGCTATTTATACTAATAGTGAGCCCTCAGACCTGTGAGAGACAACACTAGTAACAATTATTTTAATTAGGCCCTGAGATCTCTAAGTCCAAACTCCTTTTATTTTTATTTAATTATATTTCATGAACACTTATTTTAAAAATATTACAAACATTAGTTATTTACAAAATGTTATTATTGATTTTACAATTTCAAATTAATTCACAATTAAAATTAATAAAATATCTAGAAATAAATTGAATTTATAAATATATTACATATAAATGTTTCTTTTCACACAGTTCAAAAATAATAAAAGAACAAAACATGAACATGAGTTCTATTAACAATTACAATTTATAAAGGCCCTAATAAAATATGATATATAACCTTTTTTTATTGGCTCAATAGACCTTGCAGATCTTTGACCGCCTGAACCAGCCTTCTCCACCTCTGCCTTTCTTGGGCTACTACTTTTCAGTTTGCGGCATGAAGCTCAGCCTATCTTTGTTTATCCTACATATCCATCCATCCATTTGGTTTTTAGCCTCCCTCGTTGTCTCTTTCCAACTACTCTGTGATTAATTGTTGTGTAAAGGAGTCTTGATGGATTGCTTGGAGCTACATGCACCGCACATTTAAACAGACTTAAATCTTACAAAACGAACAATTTTATCTAAAAGTAAGGAGCTGTAGTATAGTTGGACAATGATGAAAGAAAATCGTGAATAATTTATGACATTTTTTAAAAACAGAACTTAGCTTAGTGTACCAGTTAAAAAGTTATCTCTAAATGGATTTAACGATGACAAAACATATCTTCGTTTGAATTTTTTTTTTATTTTAAAGCGAGATCATTGTTAATTACTTAAAATAAATATTTTATAGTTATTGTTTTCTAATCATCAAAATGCATTACCTTTTTGCCTTCATATCATGAGATAATGATTGATATTTATCAGATCTTAATTGTTCCTTATCCTCCATGTATTAGGTTTTGATCCCACCAGATATGTCCTGTTACCGTACGGCTGCATTTGCTTCTTCAAATTTGGACAAATTGAGTTTACTGATGATGAATGAGAAGAGTCCCACACGCGCTTTTCAATTCTACTTGACGATGAGCGTAGATAGTCGATATTATCGACTAAATATCGATATTTTCATCTACTGCACACTACATTAAATATAAATAGACAAGATGAGTATTTATATTTTTCTGAGGAACAGATTTATACATACATAGCTCATAGCGCTTTCCGAAAACGATAGTTTTAATTTTTATTTTTTAATTAAAATATCAAAGGGATAATATTGTTCGTTAACTCAATTTTTCAAATTCTTTAGTTAGAACCTTCTCAAAACCAAGGCCACGAATTGTCAAAGAAACCTTTGTAGGATTTAAATAAATTAGCATTCCGCTGAATACGATCTATGTGTGAATGAGAGTAATAATTGTTTGAATGGAATTTTCTTGAAAAAAACTGAGGATGACATATGTGGACAGGGACTAGAAAATTAATTTTACCAAACAGAGTAGAAGAATTTTCATTTCCATTAATTATTATCGATAGTCAGTAATATCGATATTTCGATAATATCGAGTATCGATGGTCATCCCAAAGGTAATAAGGGTCAAACTAGTGAGGAAGATTGAACTATATGTAAAAATTTTCATAGCTAATTAATTATGACTACTGCACGTACTTCAAACCTTTTGTGTACCTGTAGAACGAAGTAGGAGGCTAAATCATTTTAATTTCCTGCAATGAAAAAAAATAAAAAGAGGAGATATAAGGATAGAAAAATTTTCGTCTAGGATTTTTGTCTATAGCTGTATAAAATGAGCATTTTATCAAAATTGAAATTTAATAATCCCTCCGCATCACATCAGAGCTTTAATGTCTGCCTATTGTACCGTCTCTTTTGATCTTTTCCTCTGTTTCCCAATTAGTTCTTCTGCGTCCTTTTGTCTCTCCTTCACTTCAGCTTTTCATTGTTAAGAAGTCTTTTTAAGTGCTCTCACTCAATCTATTCAGTTTTGTCCCCTCTGGTAGGTACGCCAGATCCGTTATCCTATTTTCAAATGACTCCACTTCAATTCACTTTCTTAATTATCTCAATTGTTTTGCTTATATATCTTCAGTTTTTTTTATTTAGTTTATGGTAATTTTGTTGTATTGTTTTATTAATGAATTAGTAAAACATACATGTTACGTTTTATGAGGTGTATAGGATTGAATATAAGCCTCAACCACCTATTTACTCTATATTGTTTTATTATTTTATTATAATAATGGCATGGCCATTAAAATAAAATAATAATTAAAGGAACTACTATAATGATCGCATTATTATTATACAATTATCTTATTTTAAATGAAACGGCAATTCTTTTTTCGTTTGAAACGGTGAAGATTATAGGACGGATTTGCACAGTTTTTTTTTTTCCCAAATAGTCCATTTTGTTACATGAAGGTTTTAAGCTATTCATTAATTTCGATTTCACAAGTTTAATTTAAAATTTTAAAAATAATGTTTACATTTTTTTGTCACATTGATATTACATTGTTGTTTAATCGTGCATAGGTTCTTGAGTTCTTCAAATAAATTTTAGATATTATTCCAATAATCAGATGCTTTTGGCAATCATGTAAGGTATGAAATATGCATGTATATATCAGAAGATATCAGCATCCCTGGGAAACCAAGAAGAAATCGTTACCAAAGTCATCAAGTTTCTGGATAGTGAAAGACTTAAAAAACATATATAACAAGCTTATCCTTTGCAGATTTATCATTATTTTTTTTATTCTATTTTTTTTTTTATTTATTTATTTTTTATTTTTTTATGTGTTCACTTCAAGTTCATTTGTTTATTAATCTCAATTCATTTATTGATTTTACTGCTATTTTTTTTAAGTTTATTTATTTATCTATTCTATCTTATTATCTATAAATGTATATTATTATCCTTATTTATTTATATTATTCTATCAATACATGTATTTAGTTTTTTATCCTTTTTTTTTTTTGTACCAACCATCTAAACAGTATTAGGTGGTGTTATTTAGTTTATCAGGCGCTTGTCACCTGGATGTTTTGCGCCTAGACATCCAAACAAACAAACAAAACAGGACGCAGTCATTTTAAGATTTTTATTGTTCTCGTAATGTAGACTTTTATCTACGTTTTTTACTTTAAAAATATTTCAACTTAAAAAATAAATTAGGTCAAATTAGAGATAGAAAATGTTTTTTTACTAGATTTCAGAGATGTAATTTATCAATCATGAAAATAAAACATTATTGTTATAATGATTTTCTTTATTTTTATTTCAAGAAAAAAATATATATAAAATAAATAATCGTAGCCAGGCAATTTGTTATCAGTGAAATAGGAATGTTATCTAAAATGTTGCATAAATCTTGAGAACGGTGGAAAGGTATGGTATGAGGGGGGGGGGAGTGGAGGAGGGGAGGGTTGGAACAAGTTTGATAAGTAGTATCAACTTGGCAGGGATGTTTTTGGCAGGGCCTGTACTACTGATAAGAGAGCTTGCTGATAAGGGGGCTCCCTACTGACTCTAGATTACGCTACACTAACCAACCGGTGCCCTCCCTCCCCCCACCCCCCTTACCACAGTCAGTACCAATTGGGGTTAGTTAAGTGCTCCCCTCCTTGTTACTTAGCCGTTCTTTTGTTCAACTGTAATGGAAAAGATTAAGATCTTACTCATTTTTATTGTTTTATACAACATGGATTTAAAACTTAATAATCAAGTATTATAGATGAATGCTACAAAAACTATATGTTTATTTTATTTATTTATTTATTATAAAGATATTTAGCGTTAAAGAAGAATGGTGGGGACAGAGTTACGTCATGACTTGCCAACGCCTAGATCATACCGCTATGTTTTGAAGGTGAATTATTTCGGGATGCCACTGGATAATTATTGTTGATAATTATCTAGAAATATTTAATAAAAATTATTTAAACAAATTTGGATCTATAATATATAGATTAATCCAGAATTTATTAATTGAATTTCTTTTTTCAAGGACTGGTTTGTGTTTATCATGCTTTCTAATTACCAACATTACCTGTGATTATCATGATATTCATGTGTGGCAGAATTAAAATAACTGTTACTAAAAAACATATTTTATTCTTATGTTCAATGAAGTATATATATAAAAATTATTGTCTTCCGCAGCTCATATTTAGTTAAAAAGAGTATTCGCTATATTCAATAATAAACAATACAATTGATTATCTTATACTCTCTAGCTTAGTATAGTTTTCTCATCTTTAAGACTTCCACCTAGGAAATATATTTATTTAGTTGTTTTTTTTTAGTTTAAAAGCATCCGTATACGTCACGCTTAAGTCTCAAACCACGCTCCCAGTCCCCACCATACCTATTATACCAGCTGTTAATTCAAATTTTTAGCTAAGTACGAACTTTTTTTTGTTATTTAACAGTTACATTTCAATTTATATACGCTATCTATTATTTTAACTATACTGCAGCTCAAATTTACACTATTTTTCCCTTTCGTGTAGCCAATAACATAAATATATATTTTCTAAAAGATTACGTACACACTAGTTACGGATATGGTGGAATTTAACAAGAGAATTGAAATGTATTAATATTTATTGTTTTAAACTATTTTTAAAAGATATAAAAATTCTGATTCAGCACAATAATGGCCATGAGAAAGTTCCATGAAGATTATAAATATTTGTATATAACAGGAAAAATGGCCAC